TTTTTTTTCTGCAGTTACATGAGACAAGCTTACATTTTCGCTCGAATTTGTACAGTTTATGCAACTGTAAAATGAGGTAAGTTACTGCTCAACTAAAGAAATAATTATGAAAAATCCAGTATATTGTACATTCTTCTACTTAATTATCATATACTATTTTGAAATTACTTTTGCGCAAAAAACCCAATGACGCAGTAAGGTTAAATGTAAAAACTTTTCAACACAAATAGCAACCCTTAGTGATTTTGGTCTAGTCCTATGCATAAATTTTTCCAGTCAATATTCATGAGTTTTCTGTTGAACCTTACTGAGTTTCGAAAAGCTGAGTAGATGGAATTTGGTGCCCTGCACTTTTCCGAGCTGTAATATTTGTTCTTAAAAACTTTATGCTTTTTCGCTGCTATGCAAAAGGAGCTTTCTGCTCTACAACGGTTGGCTAAATTTCTCATAAAAGAGTAGCGTCCATTTGATAATTAATATTTAGCAGTCGCAATATGCTAGCAGTAAAAATTTCATTGCTTCAGGTTCTTTCGCTTGTCCTGAGGGAATACGCGCTTGCAAATTTAAGGAGTTTAATTCCTACAGCAAAAAAAAAAAAAAGAATTCATAACAGTTCCTTTAGCTTTCCAGAGTCTAGATGAGTTTGAGTGGCAAATCCAACAGTAATGGCAAGTGGTGCAGCTCAGGAACTCAATCTGAGGGTCTAATTTTGCCACTGCAAAAGCCAGTCATCATGCGCTATTCGTCTGTTTCAGTGATAAACTGATAGCAGTGCATATGAAGTGAAAAGCGCTTACATGTCGCTTCTAAGCAGCCCTCAGAAGGTGCCACTGGTAGCAGGTCAGCGGATGTTTGCTGCTGGCGACGCTTGGGATAAACTTGACAAACATGGCTAAGCCTTGTCAAAGTGCTTCATTCGAAGAGAACCGCTGAGCATGTAATTTTTTGGGAGAAGTAAGGGACATCAGGATAGCTAGAAAGATGACCACCAGAAAATGAAGCATTTGTCAAGACAACCGCAAAATTACAATAAGTTATTAGTCTTGCTAATTCTGAGTGCCTTAGCGTTTCAGAATGGATGAATTATGAAGAATGTTTTGATTTCTAGAAAAAAATTTGACAAGATTCAGGCTTAGAATTTACATTGCAGGGTGCAGGCATCAGATGGATACTTTTTTGAGCAGTTTGCAGCCAGTACGACGCCAATACCGCCTACAGTGATTGGAAGCATTGCGACAGTGGATGATGAAAGCCGCTTGAATGATTTCCGAATTGACTACGACAACCAGGCTTTCGAGGTTGCCCTAACCCATCAGCACTACTGATCTTTTTTTAAACACAGTAATTGACTTCAAAATTCATTTGTCTACTTTTTTTTTTCTATAAACAAATGAGGCGAACTAAAACTGAGGATTGCTTCCCAGCGTTTTGCTTGTCCGATATTTCCTCTTGCGAATTATTTTCTTGGGAGCATGTATGTTTACTAACAAGATTTTCCAGAAACAAAAAAAAAAAATTGCTGTGCTTGTTGTAGTGGCAATCAAAGTGAAATTGCAAACCGAACCCTTTCAGACATTCATGAGCTGCAAAAATTGTCAAAATGATAAGCGAAAATTTAGCAGTTGATTTGCAGACAAGAAGTATGGTTGAGAGGCACTGAACTGTGCCGGAGAGTAATGAACTGAATTTTGCATCCCTTCAACAAATTTACATCTTTTGCTAAACTTTATATCCCACACTGACAAAATTTTACGCCTTCTGCTTGAATCAGTGTGTCGCCTTAATTTTCCATACTATTTTTTCGTCTGGCACCAGTTGCATCTGCTGAGCCCACGGCAACTCCTCATACGCCACTGTTGCATTGTGTTGAATTTGGGGATGTACAGTTCCAGTGTACACTGTAGTCCACGCCATGACCCCTCTTTATGCGTTTTTGCATGTATGTAAAATGCAATAAACAAAACGCATATTGTGACGATCTATGGTGCGCTCGTGTGTATATGTGTGCGTGTGTGTGTATGTGCGTGTACGTGTGTTTGTGTGTATATACGTCTGTCCGGGTATTTCAACTAGACAACGAAAAAAGCTTCAGTGCTAAAATTTTTCAGAAGATTCTCCGGCAGTTACCACCCAAGGGCCGCGACACCAAACTTCACATCGTGTGAGCTTCGCATATGAGCACGAGAAAGTTTTGGCGAAAAAATTGCTAACTCTGGGGCCAGAAAATCTGGAAAGCTGAAATTTTAAGGGGGTGTTTCCTATCTCAATTTAGAGCTTTTAAATTCAGTTCTCAATTACTGGATGCGAAAGTTTTGTCGGGAAAATTGCTAACTCGAAAATCAGAAAAGCCAAAAAACTGAAGTTTTGAGAGGTTGTTCTCTTTCCGTTTGCTATGCAAAGACTTCAAATTTAGCCCGCAATTGGACTTGGTTCTCACGCGCGTTGTACTGTTAACTCTGGAATCAGATAAGCTAGGAAGCTGAAATTTTAATGGGATATTCCCTGCCTACGTACGAACTAAGGTTTCAAATTCAGTTCCTAAGTGTGGTTCTCACGTATGGGTTTGCGAAAGTTTACTGCAACGTCGTCACTTTTTCCACATCTTGTTCCTTGACCAGTTTGCACTTTCAACGACCGACTGGTAATATCCGATTTTTCATTCTCCTTTGATGCAAAATTTATAGCAATCATGCACGTTGGAGGCTAAGATTATGTGCGGCCTCGTAATGTATTACTGCCATCCCAACTATCGCCTTTTCCTCCTGCATGCAAGGAAAAAGATAACTCCGTCAAGATGAGTGCACATGTTAAGTTGTAAAGCAACATTCATTTACACTGTTAACGACCTGGTCAATTCGATTTTAATGCAAAAACGCATGACCGCATCGGCAAGCCTGGTGCGCCGCTACCTAAGTTTATTTAATTTCCAACTTTAAGGATCTTTACGTAGAAGCCCTCTACACAATTGTTCATAAAGTTGGAAGATGTGAAAGTGCGCCCGTTGAGGAACTTTTTTCCTATGCGCAAAAGGCATTCCGGATCGACGACGCGCAGCATCAACAACTTCTTTCACGCGCTCACGAAGAAAAAGTCATCGTTTTTCAATACCATTTATCTTATATTTTTCGATAGATTATTTGAATTTGAGATGGTTACTTTCACGTTTTTAGCTCGAAGAATGTACCAATGCATTCCGATTCATAAAAGTTGCTTAGATTTTGTCTAAATTTCTATAACTAGGATAGCTTATGCTGATTGATTATTTTTGAGTTAAGCTGATGCGAAAGCAGGCTAAGTGAGTTTCACCTTGCATAGATCAGTTGTACCTCGCAGCTGAACTTATAGCTCGTGCAAATCTGGTTTATAGCATCAGACTGAGTTTAGGACTTATCTCAAAAAACACTGAGTCTAGATGTTTTATGATACTATCGCGACTAAAATTTCATTGCTTGCTGTTTCGTTTTAATTCCTCATTGAGAAATCGTGTAGATGATAAGTAATTTCTGGAGAAATATGGTTTTTAATTCTACAGCCCCAAGCTTTTGGCTGTACAGAATCGCAAACGTTTTGGTAGCAAAAATTCTGAACTGTTTTTGCGCAGTTGAAGCAAAATGATTTTAACATGCTTGAAATATGATTCAGTCAAACATTGCAGCCACCTGTGGTCCTACTCAATGTTTTATTGCTGGAAGCGCGAGACTTGATTGCCAAAGACGTCAATGGTAGGTTTTGATTTCTTCACAATTCGTAGCTTGCAAATTATTCCAAATTTTATCAACCTGTTTTCGAGTTGTTATACGTTTTTGCGTATTAT